GCAGTTTTAAATATCTCTCTTCCTAGGACTCCGTCTCAGGAATTTCCTTCCACCTTTTTTTCTCTTTCTCAACTTGTGGTGATATTTTAAATTTCCTATTAAGTGTAGATCTAAGTAAAGACAAATTAAAAGTTTAAAGTATTAGTCTGCATTTTAGGATTTATCTTGATATTTTGCAATTCCAGTTTTCGATATAAATAGAAGCATTTAACTGGTGTGCTGAATCACCAGAATGGTAGAATTTGCATTTTCTAGTTCAGGTATGCATCCATATTTAATTCATATCCAAGTAAAGGCTCAACAAACAGACTTTGCAGTTTTTATTTCACCTCTTGGGATGTGCACTTTCTACCAGCTCTTTCTGCTTTGGCTCATGGGTGCAGGCAAAGAAAAGCAGAGAGAAGCAGCTCTCTGTTCTCGCCCTTCCCCTTGCTGATATCATTTTCAGCAAGGATACGACGGTTCCCGAAGATCCTGCTCTCCGAACACCGCTGCCATCTTCTCACACTCCAAACAATTGTGGTTCAAATTGAAAGCACAGCCCATAAGGCTGCCAGCTTCCCACTCAGGCGACGAGGTCCCATGCCCACCTGTTCTGGCTCAGAGTCCTGAGTTTTATGGTCCATCCTGTGCCCCCGGGGCATCCTGAGTGCTGTGTCAAAGTGGGGCAGCAGGACCCAGTGGGCACGCACACTGCCCATCTCTTCTCATGACGTGCTCCATTGTCCCCTAAGACTTCGTTCACAAACTCAAGGTCAAAGGTAAAAATTATGGTCAGGCGTGGGGGTGCACACCTGTAATCCCAGCCACTCAGGAGGCTGAAGCAGGAGGATCACAAGTTCAAAGCCAATCTCAGCAACCTAGCGAGACCCTAAGCAACTCAAGCAAGACCGTGTCTCAAAATATTTATTTTTTTTTAAAAAGGGCTGGGGATGTGACTCAGTGGTTAAGCACCTCTGGGTTCAATCCCTGGTACCAATAAATAAATAAAAGATAAAATTATGAAGAATTTCAAGACCAGCAACAGAGATTGAAAGCAAGCTCAGAACCCTTCTGAGCCCTGAGTTGTGTGGCTCTCAGGTCACATGCCCATGAAGCTGACCCTGCCCCAGGAGCTTCCACTCCTGCCACACTGGACCCTGCAGTCTCTGGGACCTCAGCAAAATGCCTTCCTTCTGGAGATTCCTAAGCCCAGCTCCCTGGGGCCAGAGCCCCTCCCACTTCCTCTTCCAATGGTCTCAGCCCCGCCCTCACATCCTTTAACAAGGGGCATCCCTCCTGACCAGGCCAGGGCTCCTAACAGCACACTGTTCTCCCTCACCACAAGGGTCCCCGACCATCACTGTCCCCTTAGGTAGGTGGCTATTTCAGAGCCTGTTTCCCTCCCCGACTGGGCTTGCTAGAAGCTTGTGGCCAGGGCTGGCTCTGGTTCTGTTCATCCCTGCTTCACCGGTGTCTGGCACTTAGTTCCTAATAAATATTGATTAAGTGTGTTAGTAGGGTTTTTTTTGTCACTGTGACAAATACCTGAGGCAAGCAACTTAAGAGGAGGAAAGATTTATCTTGGCTCAAGGTTTCAGAGGATCCAATCCATGGTCCACTGGCTCCATGGCTTTAGGCTTGAGCAGAGGCAAAACATCATGGCGGAAGGGTGTGGAGTAAGAAAGCTGTCAGCTTATGGCAGCCAGAAACCAGAGAGGGAGAGAGACAGGAGAGAGAGGGAGAAAGCTGGGAGGGAAGGGACCAGAGATACTACCCTGTCAGGGCACACCTACAGTGACCTTCTGCCTCCCACCATGCTATCACCTGTGGTTTCTACCACCTCCCATGAGTCCATTTGGCTCTCAGTGGGTTCATCCACTGATGAGGTCAGAGCCCTGGGGATGGAGCACCACCTCTGGATGTTACTGCACTGGGGACCAAGCTTTGGTCACATGACCTTTGGGGGACATTCAGGATCCAAACCTTAACATTAAGCGAACGAATGATTTAACAACTGCAGTCTTTTGCAAAAGGCGCACAGTGTCAGAAGAAGAGGCTAAATAAACCAGGGTAACTTGAATTCTAGATTTTTCGTTCAAAAGGGATGAAATCTTATTTCAGTCTGAGCTGGGGACAGCTAAGCCACTATTGCATGGCCTTGCCTGCCTGTCTGTAGGTAAGGAGTGGAATATTTTAAGGTACCCGTGTCATTTGTCTTTGGGTCTCCAGGCCTAGTGTCTCCAGGCCAAGTAAAGGGTCTGGGACTTCATTACCTCTCAGGGGGAAAAAAAGTTCTATCAGCTTGTACTGAGGCTAAGCTCGATGGAACTATGTGACCCTGGCATTTATGTGTCCTTGTGTTGTATCTCCTCTGCCATCTCCTCTTTTCTCCTCTCCCTCCCTGTTCCCCTTTCTCTTGTTAAGGATTGCTGAGTCTTGAGAACTACTTTGGTTGTGATCAGATGTTTTCAACAGAAAAATTACTCTCATCTATTTTTGGTTTAACTTGGCTCTTGAAAGAGAAATGGTCTGATTAGCCTTATAATCATGACGCTGGTTGGACACTCCACAGAATGCCCTAGAACAAGTCTGGGTACACGGGTAACATTTTCACATTGGCATTGATCTTGGGATAGAATCACAAGGCAGGCATTTTAGAGGTTCATCCTTTCAACTCCAGCAAACTCAGAGCAGAAATTAAACTTGAGATCAGATGAAACCTATCATCCTGCCCTGAAGACGGCAGAACTAGACTCTTCAAAATACCCAGTGCTCCTGAGCCTGAGCCGTGGCAGCGAATGGAACCAGCGCTCTTGCAAGGACCTGGTCCATGACCTGTCTCTCTTGTCCATGATTCTACAACTGTATTTAAGAAATAGCCAGGAGGGGAGGTAGTAAAAAATAGGTATTAGTAATGAAATGGAAGGTTGAAGAAATAATAATAATAATAAAAATAAAGCCTAAAGGTAAGATTGTTATTGATTGAACATCTTAGAAAACATTGTTAGTAAGAGATCAGGGCACCCCTCCTGTATGTAAAACAGGGGATTTCTTTCCTGAGCAAGGCTTAAATAGGAATGCAGAATGTTCCTAGAAACATCCCCCAGGAGTCCACTTAGAGGTCATGGGGCTGTTTGGATATTCTATGTGGTGCACATATCCAAAGCACAGCCACACCTTAGCCCTGTGACCTCGGCCAAGTAACTAACCTTCCTGAGCCTCTTCCTCCCTCCTTCTAATTTGCATAAGTTTGTGTAAAACACCTGCCTGGCAGGTTTGTTATGAAAGTCAAATGAGATAATGTAGATAGAAATACAAAGCTCATTGGCTGAAGCAGGCAAGCAATCACATTACCCACTTGCCTCTGCGTCAGTGTTTATAAACAGCTGTGCCAGCCTGGACTAGGGAGAGATAAGCAGGTGCCTGAGTCACACCAGGGAAGGCCTCCTGGTGTATCCTGGGTGTAACTGAGGCAATGTCAGACCAAGGACATAGCATCTCAAGAGCAGATCCCTCTTCCCCAACACCATCTCCTGGAACATCTTACAGGTGAGCCAGATGAGACCCAGAGAAGCAATGTGAGCTGACTTATGCCTACCAGTTAGCAAGTGGTGAATCTGGAATTTGAATCCAGTTCTCTCAACTCTGGGCCTGTTTTACTCCCCAGTAGCCTCTGTCCTGCCCACATAATGCTCACATGCCCCTTTGCTCTAAGAATGGTCTCTGTTTATACATGTGTGCACATCATTTCTCTAAAAAGCCCACGAGTGCTCTCAGCGCTGGAGGAGAATGTGTCTTGAATATTCAGCATATTGCAAGGCATTAGCTACAGGGCTTGCTTGCTCGTTGGGGTTCAAGGCGTAAATAACCACCAATGGAGAAAAAAAGAGATATCCTCATGTCCTTCGAGTTTTAATGTAGAGAAACAGTTATGGGAAACATTAACACAGCGGAAGGGGTGAGATGCATTAATTTCACAACGTGTTTTGCTCTTTAAGAAGTTAGCTCTTTGGGCTCCATGGGGAATCTTGAACTCACATAGACGCACCCCACTGTTTGAAAAGAGGAAATAGCCATTCCAAGTGGCTCCCGAGTCTCCACTGGGAAGGGTGGGTGGAAACACATAATGGAGAGGTGGGGAGGTGAGAATCTGACTGCAGCAATGTGGGGTGTTTAAACCAGGAATAAAAAGAAGAGAACAACACTGCTCAGAGTTAAGTGAGCAAATGGATCAATGGATCCAGATAAAACACAGATTCTGGTTCAGGTCTGGGTGGGACTCGGGATTCTGTAATTCTGTAATTCTTTTTTTTTTTTTTTTTGGTACCTGGGATTGAACCCAGGGTGCTTTACCTCTTGAGTCACATCCCCAGCCCTTTTTATTTTTTATTTGAAGACAAGGTCTCACT